AACCCTAACCCTCTAACCCAAACCCGTGACCCTGACCCTAACCCCAACCCTAAACCCCAACCCTTAACCCTAACCCTTAACCCTAACCCCTAACCTAAACCCTAACCCTACCCCAACCTAACCCTAACCTCACCCTTAACCCTAACCCCTAACCCTACCCTAACCCCTAACCCAACCCCACCCCTAACCCTACCCTAACCCTACCCCTAAACCCTAACCCCAACCCAAAGCCCTATCCCTAACCTACCCCACCCTTACTCCAACCCCAACCCCCAACCCTAAACCCCAACCCTACCCCTAACCCCAACCCTTGACCCTAACCCCTACACCCTAACCCACACCCAACCCCTAACATTAAATCCTAACCCTTAATCCTGACCCAACCCTCATCCCTAACCCTAACCCTCCCCCTCAACCCTACCCCCAACCCCCTAACCCTACCCCAACCTTATCCCTAACCCCTAACCTACCCTGACCCTGACCCCTAACCGTAACCCTGTCCCTAAACCCTACCCCTAACCCAAACCCTACCCTAACCCCACCCCTAACCCAACCCTAACCCTACCCTAACCCTAAACCCTCACCCTCACCTAACCCTACCCTAACCCCCACCCCCGCCCTCACCCTAACCCCTGACTCTAAACCCAACCGTACCCTAACCTTAACCCTACCCTAACCCTAACCTAACCAAACCCGAACCCTAAACCTGAACCCTAACCCCTAACCCTACCCGAACCCTAAACCCAAACCCTACCCCTAACCTAACCCTAACCTAGGTTTACCATTCGTCCGGATTCCCCCGGACATGTCCAGCTTTTTGAGCTAAAAATAGCGCCCAGGGGGAATTTGTAAATGTCCGGACTTCCCCCCCCCCTCCCCATGCAGAGCGTGCGCGGCTAACAGTACAGCTGGCCGGATGGTGCCACTTACATGGGGCTCCGACAGCCAGAGAGAGCCCCCTCCACCGCTTCCCCCTCCTCCCCCCTGCAGCAGAGCTCCCTCCCTCCCTCCCTCCCTGCGTTCGCAGATCGTCTCCGGCAGTCTGGAGCTCCTCCCCCACTGCTGCCCAGCGTGCCCGGACGAGCGGCTCAGGCAGTTCCTGAGCAAGTTCACAGAGACATTAGGTGAAGAAAGGCCAACAACAAGGGAGCCAGGGGGTCGGAGAAGGGGCAGGGAGGTTCTGGAGGGGGCAGTCAAAAGACGGGGGGGTCGGGAGTTCGGGGGGAGCTTTCTGGGGGGGGTGGATAAGGTTTTGGGCAGTCA